GCAAGAATAACTATACTGAAACAATGACTCTGTTTCAGAAACGCACGCGCGTCACGCGGAAGCGGGGAGGTTGTCGTCCGTCCGATCAACAGACGATCCGACGGACGCGGAGCCGGCGGATGCGGCGCAAGTGATCGGTCGGGTGAAGGAGAGCTTTTCCCTTTTCTAAAAGAAAATCTTCACGATGTGGGGTAGCTGACCCCACAATAAACACACAGCAACGCCACAGGCCAGCGGTGTCATATTTTCAAAGTGTACAGAAAGACGTGTATAGACTATCTGTATTAGGGGGGCAATTTTGACATGGTGTTTGGTGTCCTGCATTGGCAGCGCTGATGCAACTACATGGTGTTTGGTTGCATAGATGTGATTAAGAGTTAACAGTTACACATAACACACATGTTTATAGTATAGTCCTTGGCGGCTGCAGTGGACGGTAGCCGTGGCGCCGCATTCGACACGACAAGCATGAAGTCATGGGCGAGCCATCTAGTCGGCAGCGCGGCGAACTAGTTGCTAGCATCGTCGCCGCAAAGAAAGTCTGTGCGGAGGGACAAATAGGAGGGCGCTAAGACAGAGAACGATTGAGGAGAAATGCAGTGTGTGCGTCATGACGGTTTTAGTGCAGTAGGATGTGGGAGATGAAGCTGAAAGAAATGACGATGGTGACAATACAATAGGACGCAGACGAGGAGGGTGAGAGGAACGACGTCGGCGATGGAGCTAGTGCAGCATGACGTAGGAGAGAAGGCCAAGAAGAATGACCCTGACGACTGCTTCAGTGTAGTAGGACGCAGGAGAGGAGGCCGAGATGAACAACGGCAATAATGACGCCTGTGTAGTAGGATGCGGGAGAGGTGTTTCTGGAAATAACGCTGACAGAGACGCCGGTGTAACACGACGCGGCGGAGAGGTCTAGAGGAACAGTTAAGAAGTGTTCACGAGAAAGATGCAGCTCTAGTCGTCTATAATCATCGAAACGGAAACGTGACACGAAAATCCTCTCTCTCCCACCATCTAATATCTCAAGAAAGCGTATCCTGCTTGGCATGTTAAACGGACACGAGCAAAAGATATGCACAAACGGCACGGGCTCGCAGTTCATTCGAGCACACACAAGACTAAGCTGAAGCAAAGCCTCGCAGTTTGCACGCGGCCGGTTTAGCCCACACATGTGGAGAGTGGCAATTCCATTCCATACACGCAACCCATCAGGGTTCAAATTTTGATGCGCGCATTTATCCTGAATTTATTTTAGGAATTTCGGTGATACGCTTTCAGTGGGAGGAGACGTTCCCGTCGACTACGAGGCGCCTACGGTGACTTCGTAAAATCTCAAGATGATATGCCGGCTCAATCTCTCGAAGGTACTCATAGGGGTAGGATGTGCGTGTGTGCGTTCATAAGTATAAGTGTATGCGCGTGTATATGAGCGTTTATGTCTGTACTGATGCTAAAAAAATACACACAACCTGTCGAATCAACTATGATGTCATTTTCTTCTGTAATGATGGATTTGAAAAGCCGTACGGAATAGTAAGTGTGCAATTTTTTTGTTGATTTTTGTTGATAAGACAAAACGCTTATATCATTTGTGACGACAACCATAAGAAATGCACGAGGCTCCTCTTGCGACAGAACGACTAGTGTTCTTCGACTTACTGGCTAAAACATGTGCTGCCATATTGGCTTCCCTAGGATAAAATTCAAAGGAAATATCACGAAAGAGGAAGAAACAATCGTCGTAGGTCGCTGCCACAGGCCCTACTAAATGTCCACCATTCTTCATGATCATAAATTCCGTACAATCAAAATTCACCACCACCCTATTGTACCTTACAGAATTTGCTAGGGCAAGGCTGTCCCGCGGAGCCATCACCTCCGCCGTCATTGCATCACCGACAACGTCAAGTCTTGGGTTTGAAGCGGTCACAAAGTAGCCCCGGTCATCTCTAGGAACAACATCAATTCTTCTAGTGTTACTCTCAATACCAAAAGCCCCATCTACATTACGCTTCACCAAATTCTCCTTTGGTCGAGTCCAACCATGCCTAACAATAGAGGTACTGTTCTTCTTCTTCGCCCTCAAGGAGTTGCGAAATATAGTGAACTGTGTTCTTATGAGCTTCTTGTTCATAATACCGAGGCACGGGACACACGGTAAGCCTGCACAGACTTCTTGGGTGGCGGCCTACACAAGGCCCATGTTCTTCGCTCACCAAGGATAGCAACATCTGTACAACAAGACTAGTTGACGCATGTGTGCGTCAACATTTGTTTTAGGGGAACCTGACATTTTTTTCACTGAAGACGAGCCAAATGGGTCGGCTCACTTTGCTCTGGGAGTTGTTTCTTTAATTTTCTTCTTCTTCTTCTTCAGGTTTTTAATCAGTTCTCACCCCCCCCCCCCTCCCCCGCGCCAAATGGTGTTTGTTTTTTAAGAGCTGAATATTTTTGAAAATCAACTAAAACAAAAAAATATAGTTCAGAAAATTGTTCAATATGTGTTCTAGAAAAGTTTAGTATACATTAAAAAATCACCGTATAATAGAAAAAAGGTATAGTGCCTATTAAAAAATGGTCATTGTATAATTTTAAAAGTTCATCATATATTAATGTATATAGCAGAATTGTCCATCATACATTATGTAAAATGTCCCTTCCATATTTAGAAAATGTAAATCGTATATTTAAAAAGTTTAGTGTGTATTTGAAAAAAATGTTCACCGTAAATTGATAAACATTTTACTATATATTGCAAAACCTACATTAAAAAATAAACGTGCATAGATAAAAAACAGAAGAAAACACAAAATCTAAAAAAAATAGAAAATGAAAAAACACGAAAACAAACCCGAAACGAAAAACCACACACACAAAAAAACAGAAAAAAAGGAAACAGCCGGAAAAGGCCGGCCTGTCTGGAAGCTGGCTTTAGCGTTTGGGCCTGCGCAGCAGCCCATGCAGTCGCTCGCTCGGCCGCGGGCTGGTCCGTTCGTTCCGCCGCCGCACACACGGCGCACACGGAGAATTCGCGAGTGGAAACGCTTCCGTCCCGTAGCAGACACGGCGCACACGGCCGGTAGACAGCGAAACCACCCTCCTCCCGGTCCCGGCGCCGGCGGCCGGCGAAACACCATCTCGGTGCGGGTCTGCAGAGAGGCGACGAGACGGGGGCGGCATGGCATCGGATGTGCGACCGCTGCACATCGTCCAGATGAGAACCGTCTCTTCCTTTTCTCGAATATATGTAATAAGCCAGTACTACATTCTGCAATCCCTGTCTGTATATATATTTACCTGAGGCCTCTTCTGCCTTTGGTCCCTTGTATGTACTGGTACGCTAGTACATAAGAGGATAAGAACAATGGTGGATGTCCATGTTGTGCAAGAGACCCCACTAGGCCATTTTTACAGATGTCATTAGTATGTTTTCCCAACTCTGGTGCCAATATATGGACCGAATGAAGCATGGATCTGAACCTTCGATTGGTCTTGTCTGCAATGCTTTTTTTTACTGAAACCAAACTGCATTCTGTAGCCCAATGATGCATATAAGCGTGAAACTATTGTTTTGTTTTATTGGCTACATCATGGGATTTTGGAACCAAACCAGATACTGGCCGGGCTGTGTTGCCAAATGTCTGGCAAGCCATTTGGCTCAAACCAAATCCCATAAAAATTTGGTAGGGCTAGCTGGGCTCAAACCAAATCCCATAAAAATTTGGTAGGGCTAGCTGGGCTCAAACCAAACAGTGGGTTCTGCCTTCGATTTGGTCGCTGCCCTTGTAATTTCATACTGGTATATTTCAAGCCCTTTTGATTAACTTGCGTTGAAAAGTGCAGCAACAATTTCTATTCACCTGGTGATCGCACGAATGGTTCAACAAAGTACCGCTCGGTACTAGCGCTACATGCAAAAGGTGCGTCGTCGGTCGTCCACGGGCCACGGCACTGGAGTGAAGTACTGCGACTGCGTGCTACACACCGGGGCCTTTTGGACTTTGCATCTTTGACATATTCTCTTTTTCCCCAAAGGTAAAAAAGTCTAGCGGTATGTTCTCTTTTCGGGGCGGTTAGATTCGTCGTCTCATTGCCTTTTTTTTTATCAGGGCATGCCCATGCACTGGTCAGTACACTTTGTTACGGCTGCCTGATGAGTGATCTGATGACCCTGCCGACTGCAATGCCTTTACATCTGGGCTGGCTCTAAAGCTGCACGTAGCGCACTAGCTACTCTAGTTAGATGGTACTCCATCATGTTACTACCTTGCTTAAGATTTCTCTTGCAATAACCTACTCCTACTAGTATGATTTCCGTTGGAATCGGATGATCTAGCGGTCTCCTCAAATGGCCGGCATGCAAACAAGTCGACCAGGAGTCAAATAAAACAAAATGAACAGACACTCATACGCAATGCACCCAGCGATGATATAGTTTTCTCTTCCTCTTTTTCCATACCACCTGAGAAACAGACCGACTGACTACTGTAGGGTGTAGCTAACAGCCAACTTTAGCAGTCAAGTTCAGGTTTGCACTTTGCACTTGCAAAAACACAGGCAAAACATACCAACAGAGTATAGAAGAACAGTACCAACACAGAGTTTCTTACTGAAATACGAGACCACCGACACGGGACAGCACATCACTCGAGCAACAGACAAAAAGGCTGTAGCAGTTAACTACCAACGTCAGCAGATAAGTTGAGCAGGTTTCAATCAGCTTACAGAACACAGACTGCAGCAAGAGCTGTGCTAACACAGTAACACACAGTAGTTCTTACTCTTAATCTTATGGCAAGATGTGATCAGTCAAAGTCTACGTGAAGAACGTCAGCACTTAATCTCTTGATTATCCAGACACTTTGCTATACACACAAACAAACAACCAAAGGTCACCTGCTTTCCCAAGTTGACAGCCTGCGAGATTGAGACGACGTACGTACGTACGTGCTCCATTGCTGCCGCAGATGCGTACGTAGTGCTAGCAAGGCTGAACGCTAGTTGTGGCTTCCTCCACCGCCGCCGCGCCCTTCCCTCGGGTTGCCGGGCGGCCGCGGCCTCCTCACCGCCCACATGCTCACGATCATCTCCCGCACGTAGAACCCCTGCAGAAATCGCGTACGTGCGTGGCCAAGAGCTTCGTCGTCAACTATGGAGAATAATCCGGAAATGAGAAATGCTTGCAAAAAAACTTGGAAACTACTTACTCTGTCAGTGGTCTTGGAGCTGGAGATCTCCCTGGTCCTGACGCCCGCCGCCTCGCCTGCTTCTTCCCGTGACGAGTTAAGGGACGCGGCAGGAGCGGCGCTCGGCCTTGTGCCGCCGCCGCCGAACCAGTCGGCCATGCCCATGCACCAGGCGTAGGCACGGACGAGGTACCGCAGCAGCAGCGAGCACGGGTGCACGAAGAGCGACGGCGACTCTTCGCTGGAGCTCCTCTCCGTCTCCTTGTCCTTGTCCTCCGCCGCCTCCTCCTTGCGCTGGTCGGTGAGCTCTTCAAACTTGTCCACCTCCACCTCCACCACCGCCCCCGCCTTGCGCTGGTCCGTCAGCTCTTCAGACTTGTCCACCTCCGCCACCACCACCGCAACCGCCACCGCCTCCGCCTTGTGCTGCTCCGTCAGCCCGTCAGGCTTGTCCTCCTTGCGCTGATCCGTTGGCTCTTTGAGGTTGTCTCCCTCCTCCCGCTCCTCCTCCTCCTTGCGCTGATCCGTCGGCTCTTCAGGCTTGCCCGCGTCCGCGTCCGCCTCCTCCTCCTTGCGCTGATCCGTTGGCTCTCCCTCCACATCCACCTCCAGCTCCTGGTGCTGGTCCATTGCTCCTCCGCTCCGCTTCTTCCCAGGCGCGCCGCTCAACGGGGTTGGGGGCTTCTGGATGGGTTGGGAGGTGTTTGTGTGCGGTGTGGTCTACTGTTTCGCTTTCTTCAACTTTATTCTCCAATCTTTTTCCTTGAGGAGAGGATGGATTGGGTGCCGTCGATGCGTTCGAGGGCAGTAACTCCCCTCTGTCGCCGATTCATTTCAGACAGGCCCCTATTTATTGCCATGGAACTCGAGCAGGTGAGGCGAGGCGAGGCTGGGATTTATCTTGTCTTCCAGGAATGCCCCCCGAGGGTTTGAACCAGTTTCGTAGACTGGATTTATGTCAATGCGACTCCACCGTGTGCCGGACCGGAGGGAGTGGTGAGCTGGGCATGGCGCATGGGAGACCGGGAGGAGGCCAGGCCAGCCACCACCTGCTGCCGCACCACGATAGAAAATTTTTAGTAATCCGGAGAATGTCGATGGATGCCGAGGACAAAAGCACCAAACAAGCTGCGAGGCATTGAAGAATCCTCCTCGGTTCACCTACCCACCTCGCGTCATTCAAGATAAACGCTGTTCTCTCCGGTTTAAGTGAGATTCCAGGCGTAGAGATCGTGTCCTCTTGTCACCTCAGGAAATTCTCTTCTTTTGTAGGAGGAAGTAGGGTTTGGTGGCGTGATCCAATTCGAATCGCGCGCATGTTCATCCCTGCCGAGTGCCGACGTCCGCGTGAAGATATTCATAGAGATCAGAGTCTCCACGATGCGGACGGGGTGTTGTAAAATAATATGAAAGAAAAGAAAAATAATCCGGAGAAAGTCCATCGATGCCGAGGACAAAAGTACGAAACAAGCTGCGAAGCATTCAAGAATCGTCGTCGACCATCCTCAAGATGCACCTACTCCTGCCCAGGTTTGTACCTGCCCACTCGCGCCATTGAAGATAAACGCTGTTCTCTCGTACTCCCTCTGTAAACTAATATAAAAGCGTTTAGATCACTAAAATAGTAATTTAAATGCTCTTATATTAGTTTACGGAGGGAGTATTTAAGTAGGATTCCACGCGCAAACCGCCTGAACTGTCACCTCAATAATATGGAAGGCTTTTTTTTGGTAGAGTTTGGCGCCTAGATCGAATTCCAATCGCCCCTTGGTTCCTGCCGACGTCGGTGGAGGTATTTTTGTAGTATAGGTAGTACTGAAAAATGGAGATTTGTTGCATTTCGGAATGTCCATTCCATTTTGAAAGCGTCAAAGGTGGCGGTGTTGGCAGCATAAATAGTCGCGGAGTATTGATGAAGATTGTTTGTTTTTGCCCGGAGGGAGCTGGCGAGTGATGACCTGTGTAAGTGTGCATTAACGTGCATGGTTTCTGTTGCTAGCTGTTGCTGGCCGGTCAGCATCTCCTTATTTCAGCATTAACGTGTGTAGTACCGTTGAATGTTGCCTTTCCAAGACCATCGACGGGATCAAATGGACAGACTACTTAAGTCTTGTTGAAATACTGGTGATGGTCAATCTATCACATGAATCAGACACATTCCTTTTGAAGTTGACTACTTCTGGGGTCTTCACGGTCAAATCCATGTATTTGAACCTAATCAACGATGGGCACCCTTTACACCACGGATATATTTGGAAACTGAAAGTCTGATTAAAAAAAGATCCATGGGGTTAGATCGCAAGATCATTTTGACAAAAGATAATCTGAAAGAAAGGAATTGGCAATGATGCACTAAGAGCATCTACAACCGAACTTGGCAAATCCGGCCTCTCAAACGCCCGCAGACGCGTCCACGGGCACTGACCGGGCACCTCTCAAATGTTGCGCCGTACATCCACATACCTTAAATTTCGATCCTCAAATCCATGCAGGTCGATCATATGATACAAACTGTTCGAATCAAAGTTCGAAACAAAGCAAAGCAAATAATAGTTCAACAAATCAGACATGGCAAAATGAAATCAATGTCCGAGCGTATGGCCTCGGATCACTGGCTCGGCGCCTGCTCCAAGCGGAATGCGTCCTGCTCCGCCTGCATTCGGCTGCCTGCATCCAGGCTTCCTGCTCTGCCTACATCTGGGACGCCTCCTCCGACTGCATTCGAGCCGCAGCTGCCCTCGCCACCTCATACTTCCTATGGTCGTTGATCTCCATCTTCTTGTCCACAAGCCAATTCTTCGAATACTCATCATAGAGGGTCTCGTCCGCCAACATGATCCTCGCATCTTCCACGTTCCGTGCGAGTTGCGACATCTCCTTCTCAAGCTCTATGTTGTCAAATGTCTTGGCCTTCTCAAGCTCCCATTTGATCGCCGCTTATTGCTTCTCCAACTCGATCTTCTCCCTCTCAATTTCGAGCTTCTTCTCCGCCCTCTTTCGGTCCCACTCCATCCTTTCCTTTTATGCATCCAACATGAGCTTGTACCTCTCCTCCTTCTTGTTCTTCCTCACTGAAAAAATGCCCGTCCATGTTGACGACATTTTGGTAGCCGCTACATCACAGGCGACACATGAGTTTTCCCACTTGTTTCCCATGACTTGGCAGTTGTCCTTTGGCATGGTGGCTTTTCCATTCTCCACGACAATGTCATCCTCTTCATCGTCCAACCCAATTGATTTGTTGGAGCTTGAGCCATCATTCCTCTTCTTGCCTGACTTGAGGTCAGCCACAACTTGGTTCCACTTCGGCTTGCCATTCAATATGACCTAGCAATGGCTAAAAGCAAATGGCTTCTTCTCCACCTCGTGATACAACGTGGCCGCCACCGCCGTCTAGCGAACAACATATGTATGAGCATGAGAATGCAAACACAAGAAGCATATGCAATGGACGACAAGATGAGGCAATCGAGCTTACGACAATTGCGACTCCCAACCCACTTTGACGTTGTTTGGTCACTTGTGAGTAGTAGCCGACGTACTTGTTCACTTCCCCTTGAATGATCCGCCAACGATGTTGGAGAGATGCCATATTGCGAGTGGTCATGATAGCATGCGGCACCACATACTCCTTTTGCTCGTGGCACTCCTTCCAAATCTTCGTCCAATAGGTGTCCCCTTTTTGCTCGGTGCCGCATATTGGATCCAACATTGTGGCCAACCAAGCTTTGACCAAGAAGATGTCCTCAAATCTTGAGAATGCCAGACCTCTTGCCTTCGGTGTCTTGGTCTTCTTCTTCTTCTTCTTGCTCGGATTGGGATCGGGTGTTGTCCCAACTTCAAATGCGGTGGTGGCCTCCAATTCATACTCCAGTTCGGTCGGTTCTTCATTATCATTGATCATGTTCGACAAGAACGCCTCCTACATGATTCAAATTTGCAAGCATTCATTATGAGAAAATGAACTAGTGGTCTATGCTAAAATATGATCGGACAAGAGTAAAGAAAACGTATCGACTCTTGTTCGGTCATTCCGTCGAACATGTTGAGGGCAGCCCAGGCACTGCCGGAGCCTGTGTTCATCCGCGCCCGAACGTGCTGCGGCGAGTCAGACACGTTGACCGTCGGCATCTGCGTGGGAGGAAAGCCCTCTAGAATGGCCCAGTCGGCGCTCGGATCATCCTGTGTCCCAAAGGGGGCGGACAACGTAGTCCACATAGGCGCTTGGAGGGAAGGGTGCGGGGATCCGGGTGCGGCGGAGGAGACAGCTGCTCCATCACGTCCGAACCTCCCTGCGCCGCCGCCGCCGACTCCCTCTCTCGATGCCGGTGTCGCCGCAACTTGCGGGCGACATTCTCCGCCTTGCAAGTCGCCGCCGATGAGACCCCGCCTCCCACAGACGAGGCAGACCGTGTCTCCATCGCGGCGGTGTGGCTCGGGCTGGACAACATCTCCGGTGGTGGATCTGGACCGGAGGTGAGGATTGGGAGCAAGGGTGGAGGCCGGCGAGGCTCAGGGCGCGGGAATGGTTGGAGGGCGGTGGGAGGAGGAGGAAGGGTTTGGTGGATTTGGTGCAATTTGGAGTAGGGTCGGGCTGTCAGGTTCGACGTGGCGGGCGTACCCGGGTGCACCTGGGCGCCTCCATATCCACCCCATATTTGGGCTGGATATGGGGGGTGCCGGTCAGCCCGGACGTTTGAGGACCGTATGAGAGGTCCGTCTGGGTCAAAAAAATCGTGACCGGGCAATGACCGGGCAGCCTGCCCGAACGTTTGAGACGGGTTTAAAAGGTCCGGTTGTAGATGCTCTAAGTATTACTTTTGTGGCAATGAGAAATTGATTCAACGTTATTCCTTCACTACTCACGTGCCAAGCTACTATGGCGATCTCTCCAATAGCCTTTAATCTAGTTGCACCAACGGGTAGTATCAATATATTCGAAAACTTGGTTAGTGGGGTGCATCCCAAGTTGCAAGTAGTAGATTTTTGTGGGGATTTGCACTTTATTTTGGGCCATTTGAGACACTCATAACAACTTCTATCTTATCTTCAAAAATATCAGTTGGATTCATGAGGCTTGCTTTCCTACAATTTTATTTTTGATTTTCACTTGGGACGCATGTGTGGAAGTTCTTTTGTTGAAATTTATTGTAGCTGGATAATGAACTTATAAATAATCAACAACAAAATGTGTGCATCACTAAGGCCGGAACATTGCCCTCTTTTAAAGAAAAAACTCTTCTAATACAAGAAAATCATAAGATAATTTCACACTAACTTTGGCATACTTAAATGTTATGTTCTATCTCATGTGCAAAAAAGTTTAGTAACCGAAGACAAGACTTTTAGGCCCCTCCCAATGCTCCACCTTGTACAGGTGCCAAGGTTGCCAACTAAGCAAAAAATATGATGTGGCATGCTAGTTAAGAAAAGAGAGAGTAGTATGGTGACCTCAGGAAAAAACGGTGCTAAGCACGTGTACCTAGATGCAAGCACAATTCTGAATCTACAATGAATTAAATGCACAAAGCTTAGGGTCTGTTTGGTTCCAATAAGTCACCTGACTTATAAGTCAGGTGACTTAAAATCAGTGATTTATAAGTCACGCCCAGTTTGGTTACCACCTGACT